AATGCTGTTCACGGCGTACTGTTCGATGTTGACTCAGTTCTTGGGTGCCTGAGAGGGAGATCAGAGGATCTGTTTGAGTGGGTCCATAGCATCTGATTATGAACAGCTACTTGCCTTCTATGTGGTTGAATGGTTTGGTTCATTGGTGAATTACGCACATGACGTGTTTGATGGTATGTGTTAGGGGTGACATGTTACGTGATCTTTGACGATGAACGCAAGATAAGAGTTTTACTTATCATTTGATCAGAATGGAATAATGGGAGTGGAGTAAGATGCCTTGGTTTTAGTCACAGAGTATGTGCCTGATTACATGGAAATATGAAGAAGCTATTGATTTTAAGAAGTATACTTCTAGAACTGAAGCTGGAGACGATAATGCAAGCTCTCTTTTCTGATAAAGAAGTCACTGGGATGGATATCTGTCTAATAGGTAGAACTGGAGAACAAGCAAGTTGATTTGGGATCCTTTATCTACGAGTCTTGAGGCCTATCTTTCAATACATCTTTATGGAGCAATTCTTTCATAGCTGAAGAGCTATCTATGTTGATTACCATTCCAATGAGAATACTCAGGATACAATTATCTACTGTTGCAGGACCTCCATAGTTTGGTGCGTTTCCTCTCTCTCTGTTTATACTTCTTGTAAAGAAAAACTTCTTCAAATTACAAGACCATGAAAATTCACGATGCCAATCTTGTTCTAGCTGTTATTGTGCACATATGTATCCTTCAGCTGCCAAAAATAGGATACCTTGCTTCTCTTGATACTGATACTTATGAAATTTGTTTTGCATTTTCATTATATTGTGTATTAGGAGCATTCATGCTGAGGGCTTTATAAAACATAGGTTGAATTATGAGCTTTTCTGAAGGGGATAAAAAGGAAAATGGCAGTCACCTAGACCTGTACATCACTGACTCATTGAAGCAACAAGTCTTGGCTTCATGACAACAGTGTTACTTTATTTCATTCACTCATCAGAAAAGAAACTTATATCTTATTTGTTGCTAGATGGAACTTAGTGTGAATCCAACATGGGATAAAGATTCTTCAATTGTTTCTTCTTCTTCTTACATCTTATTTCAGCCTATGCCTAGTAGTTTATGCCTATATTTTTTTAAACAAAGTTAACTCTAACCATCATAGAAAGGACTTCTGCTGAGAGTTTTATGTTTACTGGGACCAATTCAGAATAGTCGATGAGTGACAAGTCCAACTTCTCCATCAGATGTATGGTACTATATGAAAAAATTATTTCCATATTAGTCAAGTCGTGAAGGAAAAATCTTAATGACACTTAGTCCAGCATAGTACTCGTTCTTTGATAATTTTGTACAAAGCTTATTTATATTTGATGTGTTTGTATTCTTTGATGCTCAAAATCTCTATTTGCTAAATCAAAAGGCAGTAGCACTACAAGATATTGCTCATACTTTCTTAATATAAGAATAGATTCCATTGCTAAACCTTGGAATCACTTGACACTTTTATCAGAAAGAGCAAGTAGTTTCTCCAAGCATATCTAGATGGAATTCACTACAAGTGCATCATAACCAATGCTTGTTTATAATGCATAAAATAAATAAAGAAAAACAAATCAATGGTTTCAAATAAAGAAAAAAAATAATGGTTTCTTCTAGTTCTTTGATCTCCCATCACCCTGTAGCTGTAGTTCTAAGCTATTTACAGTTTGACTTTTAATTTAGTTCAGAATGGCAGCATGTCCGTATGATTTGGCCTTGGCACTGGAGGTACAAAGTCTTGATTTGTTGCATCCATCATTTGCATCGATCGAACGTTCATGTAAGAGCTCTGCAAGTCATCCAGTTTCAAGTCCATGAACCATTCGTTATCTTCTTTTTGACTCTCTTCTGCCATCTGAATCCCAGCTGTTGTTTTGCTGTTGCTCGATGCTTGCATTCTGGCAGCAGCTTGGGATGGATAGCCAAGATCATCAAAATAAGGCAGCCCAACCTTGTGCTCGACATCGAATTCTGGTGTCCTCAAGCTGTCTGAGCCTGTCTCGCCCACCGAACCCATGGTCTCTCCTGAGGATGTCTCCTGCTGTTGCTGCATCTTCTCCCAGGTATTCTTCTTGTTGTATAGCCGGCAAAGAACCCAGTCATCCAACTGCATGAATCGAAATTATTCTTTAGACAAGCATTGGTATTACAGCATGCATGTTTCTTGAGCAGAACGCAAACTATGTTCTCGTTCGTGTTGTATACCCTTAGGCTTCCCTTGTTGGAGCTGCGGCTTGCATCAGCCAACCTGTACTCATGCATGATCCAATCGGTCTTCACGCCTCTTGGTGCCTTGCCGGTGTAGAAGACCAAAGCTTTTTTGATACCCAAAGTCCTTTCGCTGCCCTTTGCTGAGATCGGCTTATCGGCACCAGTTGCCTTCCAGTATCCCTTCCCGGCGGCCCTGTTCGGTCTCGAGCCGTTGAGGTACTTCCTGTTACGAGGAGTGAAGAAGTACCACTCTCTCTGCCCAAACGATGCCTTATCTGATACGAGATACTTCCCAACATCTCATGTTTGTTTCGGCTAACAGAGCATGTTAACTGATGCTTGGTATCATTTTATGTGCAGTACCTGGTAGCTCCCAGGGGTTGTGCTTGTAGAGATCGATGTCGACGATGATGGGTGCGGGTAGGCACAGGCAGGCCATCTTCCGGCAGAGGTAGTGCACGACGAGCTCTTCGTCCGTGGGGTGGAAGCGGAACCCCGGTGGCAGGTTGAGCTCCGCTTCCGCGTCTCTTTTCCTCCCCATCCTCGTTTCCTTCGCTGGCTCACAAGTCAAGAAAGCTCTCCACTCTCTCTCAGATGGCAGCCAAAGTAAGCTTTCTATCTTCCTCCTTCCGATATCTCTCTCTCTCTCTCTCCCTGTTATTAATATATGTATTTATTAGAGTTGCACCGGCAACGATTGGTAAAACACGGACGTGTGTGGACCTATGGGACATGGGAGGAGTTGTGTGGGTTCTTGAGTGGACCCCATCGGCCGCATGTGGGACCCAGGAAACTTCGTGTGCGGTTCGGAGGCGGCTGACGACCATTGATCTCCTTGGAAGAGTAATATTTTGATTATAATGATTTTTTTCTTATTGTAATTAATTTAAAGTTGGGATAAAGAGGGACGGGTCTCTGTTTAAACCTAACCCCCACCCCCCCCCCCGAAAAAAAAAAGAAGATGTGATTGGATTAACTACGGCGGGTTAGAAAAGTCGTAGCCACCGACACAGATCTTTTTGTGTTGATATATATATATATATATATTCTTTCCTTTTATTAGGTACTAATTTTTAATCTATTTGGTATATTCATTAATCTTGCCTAGTGATCACCAAAGTGGATGGATCATGTGGTGATTAATGTAGCGGTGGCGATGTGTCACGTCAAGGTTGGCTCAATTAGTTTTCAAGCTCTCCAATTTATGTGGAAAATTAGAGTTGTCTAGCTTTCTGCCATTCAACATAATTGACCAATTACGGAGATGGAATGAGCCAACAACTAATACCGATGTGACACTTGAACCACCGAATGTTTCGCACGATTCCTCGTGTTTAAGAAACACATTTTTATCCTACTACTCTTAGTAATTCAACTCTTCAGTAAGTCATTCCACATCTATGTTTTTTCTTCTTCTTAGATTCCATGTCGGCATTATATTGAGATTAGACGCTACATGTGTTAATTATTAGGATGTCTGGTTTTTTGTTGAGACATGGGTTGATTAGTGCATTGTTGTATAATATAAGTGTAAGTGTTCGAGTCCCATATGTAAACGGAAATTCGAATTAATTCATGTGTGAACATCATATACGTCATTTAATCTAATAATTTTTTTAAAAAAAATATTAGGACATATGGCCAAGAATTGCTGCCTATGTAGTTAGTGATCAGCATGATTTGCCATATTACTAACATAAGGGGATGCTTTGAGTATAATAAGCTCTACTGTTGGTTATTAATTTATCTCTAAAAACCAAGATGTAAATAATATCTTATGTGTCTTTATTCTTTATTCAGAAACCCATAACTTGACACAATTTATATATATATATATATATATATATACTGAGAAGAACAAAATTCACAGCCATGGTTCGTGATGTCAATGGCCACAATCCTGATATCCAAGCTGGCTCGTCCAAAGGTTTATTAAAACCTAGCCTTTTTTTTAGTTATACAAGTATAGAAATGCAACATGGGACTGCCATCAAATAAATGTTAGGTAGGATCAATATGCTATTTAGTTGGATGTCGATTACATTTTATTAACCACTATTAGTGGCTTAGTTTATACATTGGTACCTAAACAACATTTTATTCTTTTCTTCTTGAGTATTGTTGTATTTGTTTGACAGTCGAAAAATGGGTAATATGATGCACAAGACTTTAATAAATGCGAAAAGACAATCAAATACAAATAATGAACCGTGTCCTACTTGTCACCAAGTGATGAAGGATCACCGAAGAAGTTGGTCAATCACTAGAGAAGACATGCTAGAAGGTCGATAGGGAGGAGTCGCGCATCTTTGCCTTCAACATAATGTTATAATCCAAAAGCGAGAAGCAGAAATCGAGAGTTGTAAAGCAACAATAGGGAGGGTGAGGAAGAGGGAGCCTTACACGAAGCAAGAAAGCTCTAATGATACCATGAAGAATTTATTATGAAAGAGATGATTTTATTCATTGAGGTAATACTTATTTATACAGATCGTAAGGAAGAGATTTTCCTTTAAATACATGATTGATTCTAAAATTATAGATTGATGGAGGATTAGAATATGTAATAAATATAAATTTATCATCCCATATTTCTTTATATCACGAGCTTCTATCAGAAAGCATTGTAGCTTCTCGGCGTTGCTCGTGCTCTTACACGATCTTACCCCTAAAGATGCTTGTAGCATATGGGTGGCTGCCGGTCCCAGCTACGCCACCATGCCCTCCAGCTTCTTGAACTCCACCAGCTCCTCCCCGGCCGCCCTATCGACGTCAAACTCTCGTTGCCACTCCGCGCACCGCACCAGCATGTCCTGCGCCTGCCCCACGTCGAAGTCGTGGGGCAGGAACCTGAGGAGGACAGCGTCCGCCTCATCATGGAGATGGGCGTGGGTTCCCAAAGTGCCTTATGCTCGGAGGACTTGGTGGATACGGGGTAGGTGTCCTCCTTGATCGAAGGGGGTCGGTCGGGGATGGTGGAGGCAGCCGTGGCTGTGGCTTCCATAAGAGAGCTCAGCAGGCTTCGCTTGTTGACAAGTTGGGAAGAAGGAACGGGCTCATCACTGGTTGCTTGAGATGTCTCCATTGCAAGAGTTGAGAGAAGGAAGAGAGCCAGGAGCTGTGTGCGTGCCACCACCACACCGTGCCTTCCTGCTCCTCGATCGTGAACCGGCACGTGAAGCGTGACGTGGTACTTAGCCCCGTTGACGTCAACCGTAGACCACGAGCGTCGCCCGCGTCGTGCCGGGTTACTAACTGGCCGTTGACTGTGATGATGTTGTGGGTCCTACACAGCCTCTTCACCGGCGTCGCCTCCACCTGCACACACACACACACACACACACACACACACACACATACATGTATCTGTGGAGACAGTGGATGCAGGTCCTCATTCAAGCTCTCAAAAGACAGTTGGCAGTGCATCTATGTGGGAGTTGTTACACCCACTAGATCACCAGGAAAATTGCATCAATGCTTGCAGGACAAGCCTTCTCCCACGACGAGGGAGTTGTTTTCCTTATGGAAAGAACTCCATCATTGCAGGGTTTGTAATCCAATTGATTTGGTGAAGACATATGTACACGCAGATATGGGAAGCTAAGGAGGCATAGATAAAACTGGCCCACCAACCTATTGCATTATTTGTAGGAATTAGGAGCCATTGTTATGATGTTTGGTTAGGGTTGGCGGTGGAGGCACCCTTTCCAGCAGTGAAGATTTGCTTAGAGTTGACTCGGTTCTTCGGTGGAAGGTGAAGTGGGCCTTCAGAGTCTATCAGGAAGTCCTGTTTCTACACCTTCTTCTTGAGAATCTGGCATTTTATGTTTGAACCAAAGTAAAACAAGTTAGAAAAATTGAATCTTAATAATCTGATAAGTGATTGATTTATGACAACTCCTAGAAAAGGACGCCTGAAATCAGTTGGCCTCTTCGGCCACACCATATTAATGTTACAATGCAATGTAAACTCACCCAGTTGACCTAATGTATTCAGGTAATGAACAGGAATTATGGTAGCCAAGAATAAATTATAATCGAATGCTGATGTAGAACCCTTTGAAATCAAAAACATAAATCTGTACAGGGAAATGTTTCTAATTAAATCAAGAGCATTTACATATCTTAATATTGTTTCTAATGAAGTCTTCTTAGTTCTTAAATTTATCTAACAGACAAAAATAATCAAAACATTACGCTATGATGTATAATTCTCAATAAAAAAAAGTAGAAATAAGCATCATCCAATATTTGTATATTTTGGTTTGCAAGGAGAATGCATTCCTAATAAAGAAAAAGGAACCAAAGAAAAGGGAGGAAAAAGTTGTTGCTATACAAATTGAAAGTTAACATCATATTGTCATCGGTCATTGAACAACGGATCCTCTCAACAAACATCATAACAAAAAACATATAACCATAAGAAATTGTTTTAGAGACCCGAAAAGCTTCAATTTCAAACCTCTTCTAACATCATTTTTCTACCAACAAGATGTTCAAAATCCTCAGACCAATTTATTTGATCACCATCCCCAACTCAAAATACACTACTACAAAGATTAAACATGACATAACTATGAATGCTTGCAAGTTCAAATGCTCCAGCCAACCGCTAATCTTCTTTCCTGATAGAATGGCATTTATACATGATTATTACTAGAATATGCTGAGGGATCAACTTTTACACTAATGTGTTTCTTCCGTGAGTAGTTTGTATAGGCTCCATATGCTTCATCCTCTTTGTAATGCAAGAATTTTTAAGTGCACTGACATCCAGTTTCAAGTTCCAGATGGGGCTGTGCAAGTTCCACAAGATGACAAACACTACAAGGTTTGATGATATCTGAATCATGATCCTGTCACCAGTTATGATTTTCTCGTTAACATCACAGGAAATGGTCGGTACACAAATGAAACTATTAGCAAATATGTTAAAAAGGAAGTTCTGCAATGTTCTTTAAGTATCAAATTAGAATTACACTGTCATAATATTCTTTAATACCAAGGCTCGTCCTATATCTTTGAGCAACAATGACTCCCTAAAACCCAATGTCATTGTAATCTAGCTAAATGAAATATATGAAGATTTTTCTTTGTTCCCTTTCTTTCTTTTTTCTCAAGAGGACATATGATGGAATCTCACACTACTTTGCAACTAGTTACAAGTCATGACATGCTTGGTTACTTGCAAATTACTTATCCAAAACAATATAAACAAAATTTAAAGCATTAACATGCAACAGCTTAACCAAGGGGAATTCAGATAAACCATTCCTACTTCCGAAATAAAAATAATAGTCAAGAATTTTATACTTCTTATCATTGGCGATTGATGTTGTGTGATTTTTATTATAAGGATACTAAGCATTTTTAGCAAGCATTTTTTTTAATAAGGTGCATGTAAAAAAGAACTGTTCTTAGATGAGGCAGAAGACCATGAATTAAACTAATACGGAGGTCTCATGAACAGATATTTGCCTCAGAAACAGGTCCAAGGCAAAACATAAATTAATTTCCTGAATGTTAAAAAGCAGACTAACTTGTAATTCGATATATACTTACCAGAAATCTCAAGAGAGCAAAAAAATCTACCAAAAAAACCATTTTTTTCTAACTGGCTCTCCGTGGATCTTGTCAGGTTTCCTCTTTTCTATTCCCTGGTTTAAAGCTTCCATTCTTCTTCTGCACATGAACAAATATTAACTTCAATTGGTACTTAGATAAAGACTGATAAACCTTAATTTCTGATACAAGAAACTTTCATGTATAGAAAATATTAGTCTAACATTAGTCAAAAGCTCCAAACACACAGTAGCACAAGGTTGCATTGTTTGCAAGGTTGTTTCCTACACTCTTTGCATCCATCTCCTAGAATTGTATTCGTATCTCTCCTTGAGTCAACAACTTGGGAACTCATGAAGTATTAGATATTTGACTCAATAAAATGATGATATTAAGCTGCAAAACCTGGTTCTTAGATGTTTTCAAATTTTCTACAATTTTATATCCAATAACAACATGTAAGTTGTGCTGACATGACATTATTATACATGACAAAAGAAAAACTGGACTTCAACAGTTGCGATGTAAAATCATACGAAACATATCACAATAAAGATAATTCATAAAATACACGGCAAAATTAGACAAGTACTTGGTATCCTCAAGACGTCCATGCAAGCTCCAGCGCTGACGAAATCCTTCCATGCCTTGAATTCCACTTGCAAGAATCATGTGCCTAGACGAGTTCATAATATAGATGGAACTTTATAATTAGCTAAGAAAAGAAGATTTTGCAGTCAAAATCACTAATGATGAATTCTATAATGTAGAAACAATGATTGCTTTGCATCACATATACTGGGTTTTTTTCTTCCAACTCTAAGATACATTGCATTTTAATAAATATTTAGTGATAAGTTAGCTGTTCTTAGGGTAGCTTTTTTCTAAATGTAAATAGTTATCAGCAAGTATGTGCACTTTTGTTGAACATATAAAAGGTCAGTTAAGAAAATAAATAACACAGTTTTTCTATCTTTCACCTCTATCAGATGAACCACAATGTTAGAATTAAACAAAGGGGTAAATAAAATGTCAATCCACAATCATTTGCAAATAGATCGGATGCAATTCTGGCTATTTAATCGGGTGTGATGACATATAAGTTCCAGGAAATGATACATGGTGATTATATAAAAAAAAGATTTAAAAGGGAAAGATACAATGGACGGACTTGTCATTCTTCCATTCTCTAGACCATTTATCAGAAGACAATAAAAAAAACCAAAAGATTGAACCTTTCTAGAGATGTAACTTCTGATTGAAGTTGAGCAGCTCTTTCCTTTGCTTCTTCAATGGGCATGGACAGCCCCAATTTATGTTCACTATCTGAAAGTCTCTGTCTTAGCTCTTTATCCTGTTAGCAATTTATCCAACAGACAAGTCAAATATCAAGTTGAAAGGACCAAATAGAATTCTGTATAACACAATGAAAGAATACATAAATGTTACTAACCCTTTTCTCAGCACACTCTCGATACAAAACAATCTCATCTTGGCAAAATGGTTCAATATCATTGATTTGCAAGCCTAAAGCATTTACTAAGTAAGTTCCATGGTTATGTTCAATATCATCAATTTCTTTTTTTGGTGATGAGATGGGTACTAGCACTCACACCACTATAGGGTTATATGACATTATTCACTATCACTTACATAAAAAAAGATTCCTTAGCACTCCATCACATAAATCAACACCTTCAAGAACATGAGATGCAATCTCCGGTGGAATAATAGGTGAAGGGAGCCCCAGCATAAGGTCATCACCTACTAGAATTGTTTCTTCTATGTTTGGCTGTGAATCAACTGAAGCAAGATAAACAAAAAACGTTAAAGCAATACAACCATAAAAAAAAATTCTTCCAGGCAGAACTACCTAACTGTTCCACAGATCCATACAATTTCAACAAGTACTATTGTATGAACACTAGCTTGCAAAATAATAAGTGACAAACACAAACACAGTTACACCTAATTCTAGATTATGGATTCAATAACTAGAGCTGAATGTTGTAATTTGAATTAGTTACTAAAATAATATCATAACACACTATTTAGTTACTAACACAAAGTTATGGCCATTCATAGATTTCAATAACAACAAAAGATTCATATAGTTGACCCCAAATAGCTAAGACTTATAGCTTTATTGTTAATGTTGTTATACAAAAGCATGACAAAATTTGAGAAGACAAAGCTTGGATATAAAAAAAAAAAGATGAACCAAAGATTAAAATTGTTTTGATTTTAAAGCCAAGAATAAAAAAATCAAGTTCGAACTTGGAGGTTCACTTCATTTTCTATGGTTTCCCAATGAAATCTTAATTTTGCAGATACTAAAGAAAAGATGATAATATCAATATTTATTAATCAACCTTCTAATTAAATGCTCAGTAAATGATTGCTTCAACATGTAGTTCAACACAAGAATTAGATTGCTAAATTTCCTTCCCAGTAAACAAGGAGTTCATTTACTTTAAAGAAAAAGACCAATTCTTTTGAAACAAGATTTCTCTTTTTTTTTTTTTTTTTCTTTTTTGAGAGTTGTTTGTTGAAACAAGTTATTAAAGAGAACAATACAGTCACAAGATGTGATTTGTTCATTTGGAGCTCCGTGCCAATGATGGAATAATAAGCATACACATTGTATAAAATAAAAAAGCACTAAGATGCATCCATTTTAACTTGCCAATCAAACCTGCAAAAGGAAAGTGTAATCGGTCTAAGCTTCAGGCAAACAACTAATCTAAAACGCATGAACTGTTCTTTTTGTGGATAGTCCCGGTCGATGTGAACCTAAATATAACAATTTTGCCTCCCTATTATGCATAACAAAGGAACTAGAAAAATACATGAGATGGAAGGATTTCTACCATCCATGATTGCACTACTGGAATGTGCCCTCCCTCTGCTGACGACCACGAATCCCTCACCCCAACACAGATTATGTTTCACGTCGAAGATTCTGCTACAACAGAAACAAAATATTATACGTGAATGCCAAGGCAGCGAGCAGTAGTAGTCCTAAAAGCCAACAGAATGTCAAGTCAATCAAGATGGTTTTCAAAACGGAAGCGCCACGAGAAAAAGCAGCCAAAAGTCAGATGGAGTTCTTTGTAAAAAACCAATGTCATCAATTTGAGTATAAGAAGCGCAAAATGACATCCCTTATCTCGAGCATTAGGTCGAACAGGTGACGTGCAACTGTTCGTCATCCGGACGAGACGCAATACAAAGAATTAACATCAAGCAAGAAAGAAAAAACAACTAGAAAGAGGAGAACTAAGCACGGAGAATCCATAGAAGGAAAACCGAGTCGAAAGAGCAGACAGATAACTCGCAGTTTGTGCGACAACGAAAAGAGATTAACATCAAAATTAACACTATTCAATATTATAGTAAAATTAACCGTTTAAAATTAATATTAAAATTAACAAATCAAAATTCTAGCCGTCACAAAAACAGTAGGGAGGAGCGAGGACGGAGGAGTGGGGAAATCGGGGGGCCGCGATAGAGGAGGGAGGTGCTGTGGTCCAGGAAGAGGAGGTGGAGAAGGGAGCGTGCGACGGCGAAGGAAAAAGAGAGAGCGGTACCGAGGAAATGATCTCCGGAGGGAGACCCCGCCGCCGTTCGCCTATAGCCGCTGTTCGCGAGGAAAACGCCGCAGCGCCGAGGGGAAGACCCGCTGCGATCAGGGCTCGGGTGGACGGGGGTTAACGGTTTCGAACTAACCAAATGGACTTATAATCGACTCAATCGAGGTTCCATCCAATCTGATTTGAATCAAATGATTTATAATTGACTCAATCGAGGTTTCATCTGATCTGATTTGAATAAAATGATTTATAATTGACTCAATCGAGATTCCATCCAATTTGATTTGAATGTCAAACTAAAGCCTGCCTGAGTCAACGATCCAATTAAAGTCCTTCGCTTAGCCTATCTATTTATATTTATAAATATAAATATAAATATTTATATTTATAAAAATATAATTTTTATTATAATTAAATATTAAATAATTAATAAAATATATAGTTGATGATTAATTTAATATTTACGGAATAGTGTTAGATCTATGGGCTTGAAATCATAAAATTTAATTTAATATTTCGATAAATCCTTCATTACTTTATACACATCCCAGTATGTTTCTGGTACCTTTGCACTTAAGGTGTTTGAATTGGTGAGGAAGCGGACGGTCAGAGGCGCAACAACAAAGAAGACGACAGTCTGGCGAAGGGATTGACTTGAGAGCAGCACCGGCCAAAACAACGTCAGCTCCCTCGCCGACTGCCTCCACAACTAATCTCTTGCTGCGTGAGAAGGTAAAGCTGCCTCCAATGGCGGAGAAGATGGATGACGCATAAGGCCTCTCAAGTCCTTCTCCACTAGTAAATGGAATAATACAATATAGTCAATTGAGTTTTGGATCTTTAGTTGAACTCGTGGATCCATTGGTTGGGCCACACATTTAATGCATATATATATTTTTTTTATAGGAGATGAAACATCTCCTATAATAATAAATATGTAGAGTTTTCTTTTCTTTCATTCTTATATTTATTTCCTAGACTAAATATCTTTTATAATAAATAAAAATGAGCATATTTTAATCTTCGTTAAGGCTTAGACAGTTTGATTAATGAACTAAACTAAGAGTTTTTTCGATCCGATCGATCAATTTGTAACTATGGATGCTACCAAGTAATTTATGTAACATTTCAAGATTTAAGAGAAGGTAAAATATTAGATATATATTTCATGATTATCAACAAAACACTTGGTATTATTGAACATCTTTGATAATTATTCACACTTAATTACTGAAAAAGTTAATGCTAATCATGAAAAAATAGCATATTATAAAATATGTTAACATAGTAACAAAAATCATAAAGAAGTAATCTTGTGAATGTACTAAGATTTGTCATAGATCTATTTTAATAACAGCCTTGTTGTAATTTATTTATTTATCCTACATATTGCTAAATCTTAATTTAAAGTCCTTTTCTTAATGGATTAATATGGTAAAATTGCTATGTTGCAAAAGCAATTTTAAGAAATGAAATTGGAAAGGGTGGAAAATCAAGGATTGATTTGGTGCTGTTGTTCCAAAAAAAAAATTGCCAAGCTCACTACTTTTGTGTGTCATCTGGAATTGGTGATCAATTACTATAATTAGGAAAGTCAACAAGTCAGATTTATGTGTCCTTTAAGCCATTAACTCAGTCAACTGTTGAATTCATGATTAGGGGACATATTTCTCAGCCTTCAGAAAGCTCAACTTTTTACACCATAAAACTCATTTTTGTATGAAAGGAATTGGATGATTTATCCAAAAAAAAGTTTTATTTTTTGCTTTTATTCAACACAAAATAACCTTTTTTTTATAAATTTTTTTTTTCCATTGGAAAATGATAGATTAAATTCTATAAACAAGATCAAATGAAAACAAGAGAACAACTAAATAAAATTTTCCTAATAAATCATCCAAAAATTTTAATGTTGAAGAGAGTAAAAAAGGGTTCATTACAATTTGTCATTTAAAATTTTCATATTTACCACTATAATTATTTAAATATGCATATATCCCTATAAAAAAGATGAGTACTTGATAATACAAATAATCAATTTAGAACATGCTTACTAGTAAAAAATACATCAAGAGATAATCCCATCTTTATTTTTTATCCTTTGTAAAAAAAATTATTATTTTAATTTTAAAATGTATACACTTAAAATATTTTTAATATAAAAAATATCATATATATAAATAAAAAAAAAATGATATTAACCTCTCAAAATGAAGTACACATTTGCTCCCCACCATCTGACCCCTCACTCCATATTCCCTCGTACTTCTGTCTTCCCTTTTTATTCTATATAAATATATATATATATATATTTATTTATATTTATGTATCCTTCAATGCCATTATTGTTGACTCTGAAATCCACGCTTCTCTTCTTCGCACGTCATTACGATGTGATTTGATCCGTTCCTTCTCGCCGTCTAACCTTTCATCCTCCGTCGGCACGGCACTCCCTCCACCAGCGGAGACCCCTCACGATTCCCTCTCTATCCGTCTCATCGTCTCCCCCTTCCCCTTCCCCTTCGCCTCCAATTCGATTCGGTCTCCATAGATCTCCATCGGCTCCGATCGGTTCGCCCTCTCTCCCCTGATCGACTTGGATCTTGATCCAGGGATCCTCGCCCCTCGATCCGGCTTCCCGTGGGCGTTCTGGTTCGATTCGGTGGATCTGTGTTCGGTTGGTGCTGGCGCGTCGTCTGTGGGCTGGTTTCTGACCATTATAATTTCCTTGACCGATCGATCGCGGCTGCTACGTCTGTGTAAAGTTTCCATCTTTGAAGGATTTGGTCACTGGTGGTGGGTAATTTGGGTTAAAGATGGTGGATTGCCGGAGCTTGATCGAGTTCTGCAGGGCCTTCGAGCAGCACCGGCACCTGGTTAACTCCCAGGCCTCTTCCGACCACCGGATCGGCCAGTCGAGGAGAAAGAGCAAGTCATTGAACCCCCTTTCCCACCCCTTCTGCGAGCACTCCCCTTTCGCCGCCATCGACATCGTGATGCTATTCCTGGTCCTCGGAGCGCTCACCGTTCTCACAGTCCCCTACTTCCAGTTCATCTTCCGGGAAGCGTACGAGCTCCTGCCGGCCGCGATCGACGTCATCGGTGACGTCCTCTACCAGGCCCCCGTCGCTTACGCCGCTGGCTTGATCTTCGTGTTCGTCACCGCGATCGCTGCCTGGGAATTCTTCAATTACCAGGCGAGGAAGTGCGGCAATCCCTACTGCAAAGGTCTGCGTAAAGCCGTCGAATTCGACATCCAGCTTGAGTCAGAGGAGTGCGTCAAGTGCTTGCCGCCACTGCCGAAAGATGCTTTTGGGACGCGCCCCTTGGACTTGGGGCAGGATCACAAGGAACTCGAGGCTGAGCTGAAGAAGATGGCACCGCTGAATGGACGCACGGTTCTAATCTTTCGCTCTCCTTGCGGATGCCCGCTAGGGAGAATGGAAGTTTGGGGGCCAAAGAAAGTGCGTAGGATCAAGAAGTAGGCAGGAATACATGATACATCCTCTAGTACTAGATAATTTTCTTTACTTCTATAGCAATAACCAGAAACAATCTACTATGATATAGCCCTAATCACTGTTCCTTCTATCAAATAAGATTGTGGTATGTGTATTCTTGCACATGTTCTGGGGACTATTCTGCCCCCTTTTGCCACTCATCAGTCGGTAAAACATTAATTTTACTAGCTAATCTCTTATATGTTATTGTTATATTCATTTCTCTTTTCATCTTTATTTTTCATTGATACAGTATTAGACCTTCTTTGGTTGTCTAACAGAATCTCTGGAGGATGGCCTGATCTTTGCTCTTTGCTTTAATAACATATGACCCTAACCTTTCTAGTTTTATTTGTCGGCAATAGGTTTTAATTTTTGCAATAGGTTCCTGATTTTCTAATTATTTCCAATCTCAGTTTTATTCAACATCTGGAACATACTTTGTGGTAACTTTTTTTTTTTTGTTGACATGTTTGTGATGAATTAAGCTGTTAAAAAATTTCTACTGCTTGTCATGCTTCTTCTATTCTTGCTTTGGGCTATATTATTTTGTTTTCACTTAATTACGTATAACATGAACTCATCGAATAGTTTTAACTTTATCTTTAATTTCTTTCAAGCGCATTATTTGATCTATCACATGATTCAGTAATAGTCATCGATGCATAAGCCATGCTGCAAGTCTTGTAATTTTAAAAGAATTGCCTGAATAAGATGTATCATCACAGGACTCTATATTGTTAATTTACAGAGTTGGAGATGGAATCTTGGAATTGGCTTTGTTCCTGTAAATCTTGAAAACTTATTACTCTGAAAGTTCCTTAACTGGACTGAGCATATGATTAACATTCAACATGGTGCTTGGAAAGAGCATATTTGGCAGTTGGCAAGCATAATGGGAGTTCTGTAAAGAGATACACTTGTATATTTTGAGCTTGCTTGTCATGATTTCTTCATCAAAGCCTTTCTAGAATCTCAACTTCCTTCGTTATCTTTGTGTAATTTGCCAAAAGTATCTTGCAGATGGAGGACAAAATTCTATCCAATTATTTTCTGGTAAACTTAATATCTTCCAAATTTATCATCAAAGTTTGACAAATTCATGGACAGAAGCTTAAAGGGCCTTAATAGTATGACAATTTATATTATAATGTTTCTACCGAATGATGAGATACAGTTTCTTTATCAAACAACTGTATGATGAGATACAATTTCTTTATCAAGAAAGAAAAAATTGCTATTTTAGTTTTCTCCAAGAACGTATTTGATTGCCCAGGTTTACATATACCGAACTGATAAGAATCTGTATGTTGTGGAGGAACATGTGAGGAATCCTAGAGTTTTTTGTTTCTCACAAGCTTACCGGTACTTTTGAGTTGCAATTCTTGGATCCTTCGATACATGAGCTTTTAATTAATCAAATTATGGTAGTTTGGAGCTTTATACTATAGTTGTTATCATACGCTATCTGCTATGGCTTCTTTGTACAGTGTGATGTTGTAGCACTATGCAAGGTGTGAGCTGCGACCATATAATGTGAACATGTTAGCTTCGAGAACCCACAGGAAACCAATGTTCATAAATCTGTTTGCTTATGGCAGAACATGTCCAAGTAACTTTTGCTGAAGTATACCTTGCCTGAAGCAGCCACCACTTTTCGGTATGTTTCACGAGTATATACTCTAATGCCTTTTTGTGTTCTTGCAACTGTTTTCAATAATAAAACCAGTGTTACTCTCGCAGATGCTTCAGAACATTGATCATTGGTACTTGGCAGCTCAGCATTCTTATAGGTATGAAGCACTCTAGATATCCATTTGAAACATATTCAGCACTTCAATTGTTTCATATAGAGTTTTTTCCCTGCAGCATTCCTTTGGCTTCTCTTGATTCCATCCAAGAGTTACACAATGCTAAGAAGTTTTAGTATCCATTTGTTATTACTACACCATTAGTTAAGTTGATTAATGGCTGTGGAGAATAATATATTAACTGGACCAAGTAAAAATCATAGTGCAATTAACCCTGCCTCTGGTTCTGGTTGGTTGGTTGAATCGGTTTCCATGCATCAGATGCCATTATACAATGGCATGTCGGATATAATAAAGCCTAGGACTCATCAGAAAATTGCATGAAACATTTTTTGTGCCTGAGATTAGTGGTTGAGACTAACTCAACTACAAAACTGATAAGCTTAATTTTGGGGAAATTTAGTCATGCCATGGCTGCTGCTTTGCTTCATTAAATAGATTCTTGTGCTTATTCATCAGGACATGAATATATGTATGTCCGAGACTTCTTTAACAAAATAGTCTCTGTATTTGCAGTATAACAGTTCTTGATGGTTTTGCATGGCCTTCTGGTTTCATAAACACAGATTCATGATGCATCCTATCTGATGTGCAGTGTAGGTCTTACAATAAAAATTATGAGATATAGAATATTGGCTGAGTTTTTCGGCAAATGCTTGATCAGTGATTTAAAAAGCGCTAGG